TTTACCTGCACTTCGCTCAAGCTTCCACTCAACAACCGTCCCTGGTTAAAATGCTGTAGTGCAGCCATGTACCTAGGGAGATCTGCAAATGACTTATCCCAGTTACCATACACTATTTACAACTTTTAGATTTTGCGCCCGAGAAATGCCTTTCTTTTAGTAATAGTATGGCCATGTTCTTGCTGGACTGATGTAATGCACTCTTTGATTTTATACCTTATGGACTGTTCGATGTGTGGAATAAGAACAAGAGAAATCAAGTCAATATCCAAGTTGAAGTGATTCCCGTTGAATGTGTCCATTTCGCATGTGTGGGTGAGAATGTATTTACCCACTTTCCACATACCTGTCTTCTTCTTGGTCGCACGCAACATCCAATTACATGGCCAAAACCACCTGCGGCAAACAACCTTGTATACCGTCGGACTTGACTCCCATACCCGCATCTCATGACACTCTTTTACGTTGTGCATTTTACAAGCCCTGCTTAGGCGCGATTTATCAGGAAAAAGCATCCCCTTTGCAAGCACCGTTGGTCTAGACTCATCCCACATTGCTGTCCGGATTTCATCAAAATCCCTTGTGAGAGCTTCCACATCCGGCACGGTTGGCAAGTTATCAATGTAAGGAATCTCTCTTGAATGAAACGGCACTTCGGACTCATACACTCTTCGTCTAGGGGGGTCTCTCTTCAAATCAGGTCCTTCCTCCTCATCCTCTGCATCACCATCCTCACAAGCAAAGGGTGTCTCATCCCCGGATTCATCCGCATTGTTATCGTAATCACTGTTTTGTTCCTCACTCTGTGCATCTGCCAGGTCCCGATGTAATACATCATTTTCGGGCAATTGAGTGAGTTCAACTTGCTCGTTTTCACTGCACAACCAACAAAAATATAAGCTACTAAATTAATAAATAATTTCCATATTTTGCGTAAATCACTTCACTTACAAGTCGTAATGTGATGAAATTCCATGATGGACGTTATCAATTAGGTGATGACTACCGGATGGGCCACTTGTAAAATTCATATCCGGTCGGTACCCCCTATTAAATATGTGAGCGTTAATACAAATTCAATACAACAAAAATATACATAATTAACACAAATGAAAATTGAAATTTACCACTCGTCTTGTGAGTTATGGAAAGCAGGGTATAAATTATTTTCTCGCTGCTCATTCACCGGCGGTGATAAGTTTAAACCAAAGATAACTCTTTCATCCGGAACTTGTCCGGCAAAAATTGTTCCAGAATAACCACCCGATGACTGGGGGTTATCTCTACTACGCACAACCTCATTTTTTGGAACGTCTTCGACCTTCACGTACATCTCCAACATTGTGATTATAAGAAAATCCCGACATTCGTCCGGAGTCCTCAAAAAATCACTCAAAGTTTCATCATCGTCGATGTTAAACTCCGAGTAAAAAGCAACCCCTTGCGGAGTGACGGAATAAGGATATCTTCCGGTTACTTTAAGTATCACCGAACGCACACTCATTTTTTTTTTGCATAACAACGATATTAATGTATCGTACTCCATTGTCAGTGGCAATTTAACATGACACTTAGCAGGTAAACTGTAGCCCACGGAGTTATTCTCCATCACAACCTCACCACCCCAATATAATGAAACTCTGACATAATAAAAAATTGCTGGAGAATTTAACAACAACAGACGTTTCAACAAGAGTTAAAAAGAAATTTGAATGCATTTCTATGCGATTCTAACCTCTTTATATAGAAAATGGAGAGCCGGGAAGATTTTTTTTTTTTTACATATATAGCGCCAAATAAGTTGGCACTATATGCTTTTGAATTATTGTACTCTGCTAAATTGCTGGGGTCAGGAAAAAAAGGGTATAACGCCAGGTTTTCTGGCGCTATATCACTGTGTCAGTATAACGCCAGAAAACCCGGCGCTATATATTAACGGTGCAGTTACTGTTATTATATAGCGCCAAATTTTCTGGCGTTATATATATTATGGTCACTTTTTCTTTATACTTATTTGTGTCTTTTGAGTCCAAAATAACAACATTTTGGTTCCGGACTCGTCGAAAGATGTGTATTCACAATGGGTCCACAATTTGTCTAGGACTTGAATAATGGCATGATGGATGATGAGATAAGCAAGGGGCAATTTGATCTCGTCACTCAAGAGTTATATGGTACCAGAACACCCTCGAAGTGCCAAGCAGGCACGTTGATATCTCGTGTGCTTATTCTCCTTTACTAATATATTAGTAAAGGATGGCCATGCTGAGCATGAGCCCAAGTACTATATTGCATGTCAGAGTTTTTTCCTTCTAAATCCTTACAATAATAAGTTAATTGGATTTACAGTTTATTTTTGTTAGCCAGTATAAATAACACACATGTACATATGTCATTGGGTGGACCATTAGGATCAAAGCATGAAATTTTAAATAGCAAAAGATTAGGGAGTAATTATCAAGTATTAATAATTTTCATATTTAGCAACATAATATTAAAAATATTCAATAGCTGAAAAGATGCAAGGCTCATTCTTACTTATTTCTCATTTTATGATATTTTGGATTTTCATTTTAATTTGTTTCTTTTTGTTATAATTCTATATTTTTTGTGCTTAAGTATATTTACAAGCGGCAATGCATAGTTGTAGTACTTTTGGTAATTAGAGGACCAAATAGAATAACTAAACCATCCAAAGTACCTCAAAGTTGTAGAATATATTATATTTGCAAATGTACAATAAAAATTCATTTCTTTTAATGTAATATTTAGAAAGTAATTTCTGGTAGCATAAGCATGAAAATTTTCTTTTAAACTAAAGATCAAATATTAGATAACCCACTATTTATAACAACAGAGATTCGCGTGCAAGAATAAATACTATATGCAATAACTATTGTTGTATCATGAAATAAACTATGTTAATTTAAAATAAAAATAAAAAATTAGTCTTTGAACTATTACGGCTTATTGTAACTTTACATTGCATTGTTAAAATTATGTTTTTTAAAATAAATTACCATTTTAAACAATGAAAATCATTTTGCAACTCTAAGCTCCTTTAAAACATTGAGTCTTTTCCATTTTAATACGCACAGATGGATTTAGTCTTTATTGTTTGTCTAGATAGATGCCCCGTTTGGCCATGAGTTTTCCCAAAATAAATTTGGGATTTATTTTCAAAACTCATGTTTGGCCATAAATTTTGCTCATATTTTGGCCAAATTCCAAATCCCAAAATTAGCTATTGAACTGATTTTGGGCCAAAATCCCAAAACTTGGGAATTATATACATGTTTTTCCAAAATAAAGTTGGGAAATATATTTTGAAAACGTATGTCCAAACACATTTTCATCTTCAAACCAAACTTCACCCAAATCAGATTTTTCAAAATAAATTTGGGATCTATGGCCAAACGCTAGCTTAGTCTTTCGCAATGGTTCAACTGTGTATATTATTGTACATGTATAATTTGTTATAAAATTATTTATTTATGTTTTCTTGGTTCTTTATATTACATGTTGTGCCATTTGCTCCTATTATATTATTGTTGCTACTGTTTGTCACTTTATTTTTAATGTTTCTTGAGTCGAGAATCTACCAAAAACAACCTCTCTACCTCCACAAGGTAGGGGTAAGATGTGCGTACACACTATCCTTCTCAGACCCTACATATGAGATTACACTGAGTTTATTGTTGCTCTATTTATTTAAAGTAGAGGTATAAATAAAGAGATTGTATGTCCAATTTGAAAATAAAATAAAAAGCTAGAGTATTCCTGCAATTTTAAAAAGTTAAAACTTTTTTTTTTAAAACATAAAACAAAGAGATTAGAAGAAAGAGAAAATATCTAGTACATAGAAGATTTCATAGACATTTGCTATGTTTTTCCGACGCCGCATCTGTTGCTTTTCTGGATGTAAAAGTATGCTCAAACTTTGCCAAATTTACCAAAATAACTATAGACAACTATGCAATAAAGGATTGAAACAGGGACAAAAAACTTCAAAAAGTTCTGACACCACATCTGCTGCTTTTCACTGTATAAGATGTGCTCAAACTTTGCCATATTTACCAAAAGACATGCAGGCAACTATTGAAAAATTTATGTTTCGGCAAGGCAATGAAAAATTTATGTTATATCTACAGTAAAATTACTTTTCGGCCAGTCATGTTGTTCAGTTTTCATGAATTTATTGAAATACCCTCAGCTGTCCCAAGCAGGTATGGTGACCTCCTGTGTGCTTATTCTTCCTTATTAATAGTTAGAAAAACAAATGTTTTATGTCGATTGGGGTGGTGGGGGAGGAGGGGGGGGGGGGCTACTTGGACTTTACAGAGAATGACAATACAATATACTATCAAGTTTTCATGCTTAAAAAATTAACATTATTTATATCGTTTTTTATTTTACTTAATGATTATGTTGCTCAACTATATGTTGATATCAATACTCATATTGTTTTATTATTATCATTGTTAGAAATAATGTTGATCAAACTAGTGACATCATAAAACAAATGGATATGATCTGTCTTTAAAAGTATCATAGGATCCGTGATATTTAAACACATTGACTTTGTACCATAAATTTTTTAAATACATTGACTTCATGAAACACATGGTATATGTTTACTATTACACTATATTCGTAAAATAAAGCATATTCACACGAGAAAGAAAAAAGATAAGGAATAAAATTGAATTAGATATACTAATATGTCAAAAAAATTGTTATATTGTTTAACCAATTATAGTAGATTAAATTTTAATATTATCGAATCATTAATTAAATTATTCATAATTATATCATAAGTAATCTGATTATATAAGTTTTTTAGTAATCTGATTATATAGCACATGACCAAATGAGTTTCCAACTCTTTAGCCCACAGATCAACACCTAGTGGTGCAGCCATTATTGATTTATTTCCAAAGGTAGGGGCATTTGGCGTAATTACCTGTAATTACGGAGTCCTTTTTGACCACCCGCTTTACTATTTCGGGGCACCCCAATAACAGATTTCCCTTGACCCACCTTTACCCTTTTTTCTCGTCAACAAATTTTTTCCCCAATTCTAATTTCTCCTTCTTCTCTCCCTCGAATAGACCTCGATTTTTCTTATCGACGATAAAATCAACCTCCGATCCTTCTAATTCGTCTCATTCTCTATTGATTGATACCTATTTTGGCTCTAGCCGCGCGGAAATCGAATTCCGAGGTTAGGGTTTCAGATCTATCGTTTTTTCACCAGATCTGTTCGATTATGTCGTAGGATTCGTGAAATTAAACCTTTTTCTATCTCAATTTTGTTATTATCCTTTGATTTCTCTCAATTTTGTAAAATTAAAAAAGGATCGATTTTTTCCTATGAATAGTTTGGGATTTTGGGGATTTTTTGCTTAATCCGTTTTTCTTCTGCTCAATCGCATCAATTTCTGGTTGATTTGATCTTTTGATTTTTTAAAGCCTCGAATCTGAATTTGGGGATCTAGGGTTAGGTTTTTTTCTTCTTCCTAAAATTGTAATTTATCGTTTTCGCTCACGATTTCCAGAAAAACCAAAAACATTTCATCCGAATTTCTGATTCCGATTGTCAATTGATCCTAATTAGCTCAAACCAAAAGATCTTTTGCTCGATTTTACGAAGACTTCTCCCAGGTACTAAAACCGTCATCTTTTCCGATCATTTTGGCTTTATTGAACCTGAAAAATCTGATTTTTATTTTTATATTTAAAATTTTGCTCATTCAATTAAAAAAGTTAATTTTTTAGATATTTCGATTTTTGTCGTCAAACTATAATAAAACTTCCCGAGCCACTCCATTTTCACTGTACACGTGCCACGTGTCACTAATAAAAAACTTAGACAAATGATTACTGTGTCCTTTATACCTCGAGTGGCAAATGGTATCAACTAGATTCTTTGCTCATAACAGAGTGGGGTCTTATGTCTATCGTTTACTCTCTTTTAATGATAGTTTAGTTTTAGTTGTTCTTACATATAATATACTTGGTATACATGCAGTAGTTTTGTTAGTGACGTTCTGTATCCTTTTAACACCTCTTCAACTTAACTTCCTCTTGCAGTTAAATATGGTGCAGAAAAGACCATTTGGTGAAGAAGAGTTGTATGAAGTTTCATCGAAGCAACCGAGACATGTAGAACCAAGTAGACAGCTAGTTTCCTTTTTGGAATTTCCATGTGAATCAGTGGCTCCTCCTAAGTGTTACACTTCAGGTTAGGAAGAGATTATTATTCTATCAAATTTCCGAAATGCTTTGCATTGTCTTAGCTGCTTTGTGAGTAATTGTTGGAATGCTTTTATTTACAAGATTGCTCTTTTAGCAACAAGTTTGGATGTGAATGAAATTTCGGGTTCATTATTCTTGGATGATCTTAATATCCATGCTCTTTGGTAGGTGGAGAAGATGACAAAGCTGCCACTGACAAGAGACCTGGTAGTGGCAATGTCGCTGAAGTCCATATTTCTACTGAGAAAGGAACTGAGATGAGCTTTCATGGCTCTGCTTCGAACTCTTCCTGGGCCACTAGTAGCACCAGCGAAGAAGATATCAGGTCCGAGGCACCTTTTCACATATTGGCAGCCTCTGAGTATTACAATATTGATCCTCCATTCAGAGTTGTTATTCATCCAAGGGAGGTCTATGCCTCTCTTTTGAGCAATTCGCCTCGAAAGTTGGTCTCCATTGGACCAGATTTCCAAGCTGAATTACCAGAATGGGGTGCATATGATAGTAGGAATAAATCCATCAAGGAGTGCACGAATGGAAGCCTGAATCTTCCATCTCAAGATCTAGAATCAGATTTTGTGGATCATTGTGATGAAGAGAGTAAACTTGCTGGGACTTGTATCATTCCAATGCCTAAACTAGAGCTACCTGCAGACCATGAGGAGAACGTGGGAGCAGGAAAAATTGAGTGCTCCTGTGAAGATGCTGGTTCCTTCGGATGTGTTCGACTGCATATCATGGAAACTAGGTTGAAGCTTAAGGAAGCCCTAGGTGAGGAAACATTTGTTAGGTTGGGTTTTTATGATATGGGAGAGGTAGTGGCAGAGAAATGGCGTGAAGAGGAAGAGGAATTATTTCACGAGGTTGTATTTTTCAATCCTGCTTCACTAGGCAGGAATTTCTGGAACCAACTTGCTGTTGAATTTCCTTCACGGAGTAGGAGAGAACTCGTTAGCTATTATTTTAATGTCTTTATTTTGCGGAAACGTGCCAAGCAGAACAGGTTTGACCCGTTAAATATAGACAGTGATAATGATGAATGGCAGGAGATCGATGACGATGTTGTTGCTGCTGAAGCTAAAATGACGGATGAGGATGAGGATTCCGTGGTTGAATCACCAGTATACCAAAATTATCCTGGTAGCTATGAGATATATGACAATGATAAAAAAGCATATGATGAGGAAGCTGGTGGTGCAGCCTTGGAAGATTATAGGACTATAGATTTTGGCAGGAGGAATGTCTTGAGTGATGAGTCAGAAGCATGTCCTGATAAGTTGATTGATAATAACAACAGTTCTGGACACAATATTCAGCCTCTAGAAAGACATTCAAATGAAATAGGTGACCATGATGTACAAGATAACTCTTGTACCACTGATGCAGCTGAGCTTGGTTCAGAAGCACCACAAGTAAAGACTGACAATTCTAAACACTGGGCAAGTAATTTTGCTGGTGTTGGAAGTGGCAGTGGGCATGATTTTGTGATGGGGCCATCTAATGGTAAGGAATGGGACATCGGGTACTTAAGCTGTGCTAAAAATAAAGTTGACCTGTTACCAACCTGCACTATGATTGAGGAAGTCTTTGGAGATGGAGCCTGGAGTTCCAAGAACAAAGATGGTCATGGTTTAGGCTAAGTGTTGACATATTCACCCACTGTTACCAACCTGCACCGGTTTTTTTTTGCTGTTGAATCATCCTGGGAATGCTTCTTATGGAGAGTGGAGTCCATTTTTTCTTGTATATTGTTAGTGGTGGAACGAGAAAGCATGTAAGAAATGATTTTGCAAGGGGGATGTACATCAGCTGATTTATACATGGCCGTTATCAAATTATTTTATTGCCATTGTTTCATATTGAAACACACCAATTTGAGATTTTCGACCTTGCTTTGGGGTGGCTGTAGGAAGCTGTTTTCAGGTAGGCGCTTAGTATTTATATATGTAAAGTTTTATGGCCGAGTTGAGCCATATTTGGAGAAATGGAAAAAGAAATCTTTTAAATCTGATATGTGCCAAATTTTGATTATTCTTTTGTATAACCATGGACAAAGAAGAAGTTTTAAAATGTACCGTGCAATCATCTAACTTTACATCAAAGGCTTTTCTTCTGGTTCTAATTCTGAAAGTGGTGGTTTGTTCTCTTTCTGTCTTCAGTGAATGAGTGAATATTGCGCTTTCGCCATCACCAGCTTTCTTGATGGTCAACAACCTCTCCCTTCTCTAATTACCGTGTAAACATTAAGATTGCCTAATGAATTTTGAGTAATTTTATTCTAAGGGTAAACTATGATATTATCATCAGATCTATTTTCAGACTATAGAGGTTCTACTCTGCAAAAAATTGTTTCAGCTGCACATGATGTGAGAAGTTTTGTCCTGAAAAGAACCATCATGTCTTTCCAATGCAGGATAAGAGTTATGTATGGTATCAACTTCAACTCTGCTCTTTTTCCTGAAAAAGCATCAATAGGAGGAGAAAAAGGACATTGCTTAGACATGAAAAAGCAATTAACATATCATACTACATAAAAACAATATTTTATTCTGGCACCCCACATGACTATTAGATAGAAAAGGAGGAAGTAGCTAGTAGCAAGGTGGGCCTCTTTGCTTGGTTATACAAAAGGGAAAAGTATCAATAATCTACTAAGTCAAAGTAGTAGTGGTAGAGTGCTTAACCAACTCTTACTTGCATGATCCATCCTAAAGACTAAGAAATTCAAGTTGTTTTTATGGGGCTTTATTTTTTGTTGTGTATTCCTTTTATTTCATTGACCTTTATGATATTGAGTATTGCATAAGAAATTGCTCTTGATAACTCGCCATGGACGCGTGCACCATTATTATTCGTATAAAATAGTGATGGGGTATAACCGATAGCCTGAATCGATAAAATGCTATTGTATTATCGATATCGGGTTATTGGGTAAATAGTTCGATAACGGTTTAATGTAATTTAACTATTGGGTTATCGGTTCGGGGCTTGGTTTGCCCAATTTCATTAACGTTTAACCGGTAGCCCATTAAGCTTTAACAAAATTATAATTTTACTCACTAAGTATATGAAACCATCTTATGGCTTCATTCTCTCATTCTCTCAATTCTCTCGGCATATACTCTTCATCTTCAGACCTTAATCCTTAGAGTAAGTTTTATATTTTTCTGAATTTCTCATCTTTAATTCTTCAGTTAAGATTTATAGTTTTAAACTTAAAAGAATTAATTATTCAGATTTTTAGCTTTTCTATTTGTTTATTCAGGTGCACTGATTCTTTAGTATTTACAAGATTAGGATTTTATTATTTTCCTGTGAATTATGCCCGCCCACAGTGAGATAGTTAGTAATATTGGATTGTTGAATGTCTTATTTCTTACTCCTACTAACTTATAACCTTGAAAATTGAGATCATTTATTGAGATTTTCAAATGCAAATAAAGTTTTTTTTCTAAAGTTGAGATTTAATTCATCTTTTCTTAAGAGCAAAAGTTCAGTTCATTTCTCTTAACAATATGATCACGATTTCTATAATAAAAACATAATTTTTTTAGATATTTTTATTTTTATCAGGTAAATAAATAACCGAAACCGATAAGGATCGATAACCGAGTAACCGACACCCGATAACCGATATCTTATCGGTTCAGTTATCGGTTTAACATATTTATAAACCAATAACTGATATGCCGAACTGATAATATTCACAACCGTACCAAACCGACCGATGCCCACCCCTAGTATAAAGTGACATATGCATGCACAATTAGGACTCACAATTTAATATTCGTACATATTTAACAAAAAATTTAATACATGTATAAGATTTGAGTTAAAACCATTAAATTTGCTCGACCAAGGGAAAAACACTATGTTTTCTAGTTATGTCTATATATTTTATATATCAATTAATGCTCGACGTGCTTACAATCAATGAATCTTTTTCTCATATTCCAATTGTTTAATTATGGATCTGATATCACATAGTGGACCAATAAAGCTCTGACCTGCTTGCTTGCTTTACTGCTAGTTGGCCAGTCCTTAGCAAAGATTATATTGCTTTATTTGTTTGCTTGTGAGGCAATGAAGCTCCTCAATAAGACTCATTTACTTGTGAGTTGTGACCAACAAAGGTAGGCCTAGTAGATCTTACTTTGACTTAGAGGTAAAAGTGACCAAACGACTCCAATAATTTGGTTACAAATTTGATCATTATATATCTAATGAAATTAAACTTTAATGACAACATCCATGATAATTCTGGACTGCAGTTTTGGATTACTCCAAACAAAAATAAGGAATTTTGGAAATTACCAGGACGACAAATATGTTTCTTGTGACAAAGAAAGGACAAGAAAGAAGAAAAGAGTGGAAGTTGTAGGTGGTGAATCAAATGAATTAAAAGAGACAGTCCTGTGCATGAAATATTCCATATTTATGTATTGTCTATGGAAGAGTCGTACTCCAAAGGAGTGTGATATAGGTAGCCTACTCGGCTAATTCCAAGGCTCGAATATGTGACTATGGATCACATGTAGACAACTCTACTGTTTCTCTAAGGCTCTGCTTCGAGAAAAAAAATTAAGAAAAAGAAATCAAGATTGGGTTAGAATAGGGGCGTCAAATGAACGGGTTGGGCTGATTTTAAGTGGGTCAAATGGTTGACTCAATAAATGGGCAGGTCAATGATCCACCCAAAAGTAATTGGGCTAAGATGGGTTGAGTCAAGTTGGGCTAAATTTTGGGTAGTAGACCAGCCCCAACTCTTACCAAGCTTTAATTAATCTGTATTGTTTTCTTATGAATAGTCTAATTATTAAATAAGACTTTTTTTTTCTTTTGCTATGGTCATATATAACATACAAACAAACAAAAAATTATTTTAAAGATATTTTAGCAAAGTTACTCAAGGATCAATTTGGGCTAAAAATCAGCTCAACTTCAAACGGGTTGAGTCAAAATGGACTAAGTTCAATAAATGAGCGGGTCAATAATCAGTCCAACCTTGAAAGGGTCAAACGAGTTTGAGCTCAAATTGCCACTCCCTAGATTAGATAAAGAAATTTTTGAATAGTAGGTGGCTGGCTAGCTTTCTAGCTAGTGGAAAATTAGCTTGTCTAGTAGTAATAGTAATTCAATGCCCCCCTGTTTCCCCTAGTGGGAGTGTGTTCAAGCCTAAGTCTGAATAAGGGCATGAATTTGATAGCATAGGGAGCTTGACACTCAAAGCATAAAGCCAAAGTGGGCATCTTATCTTAAAGAGTAAATAATTGGGTATTCAAGACATGGAATTGAAGAAGAAAGGGAGTGACAAAACTTTACTTGAAAGAGTGTCTTTGTTTGTCAATTTGGAGCATTACTTTTGGCAAAAATAGAGTCCTAAAACTTCTTCACTCTCAAGTGAAGTCACTTTGGGCAATAAGATATATATGCCACACAAATGTCCACACGTATTTGAGCAATTTAGAATTGTCTACTTTGTAAGCTATGTTGTTGCATTATGTATATATTATATAACAAATTTGTGGTCCTTTAATTTAGTACTAGCCAAGTAGTATGCAATGAAATTAAATTGCCACATGGTAGAAGCTCTTCTAAGCAATGATGCATGGTTTTGTGTCACATATACTGATCATACAAATATTTTTTAGTAGATTAGTAACTATTGTTATTGGTACTATTTATCATAGAATTTACCTCTAATTAACTTATAAGTTATTTAATTTTGTAAAAATCATTTATTATGTTGGTGTAAATATCCAATTGGTTTGATATATGCCACCTTATGATCAAAGTGGTTGAGCAGCTTTCTCACCAGCCATCTAGTACGTTAGGCAAAAAACTTCATATCTTCCACAACTTCATAGCCTTATGCCCTTATCTTATGAATTACAACCATTACTACAATAAGAATAATACCCGGTATACGTAACCTTACCTCTACCTTGTGTGAGGTAGAGAAGTTTTTTCTGAAAGACCCTCGGCTTAAGAAAAATATTTTCGAAATAAGTTTAAAAATATAAGAGTAAAAAAGCTACGATGAACATACTGAAAAAAAGAAAGGTATTGACAGCAAAAGTAGTAAAGATAACCAAAGTAAAAGAGACAATAATAGCAATAAAATAAAGAATAAAATAATAAATTGACTAACAATAATATTAATACTGATAAGGAGAAGAGCGAGCAGATAAGGTGTTCAAAATTAAATTATTTTGTGTGATTAATAGCCCGTTTGGCCAAACACCTCAATTTTTGGCCAAAAGTGCTTTTGGCAAAAAAAAAAAAAAACTTTTGGCCAAAAAAAAGCTTGGCCAAACACCTCAATTTTTGGCCGAAAGTGCTTTTGGCAAAAAGAAAAAAAAAAAATACTTTTGGCCAAAAAAAAGCTTGGCCAAACAGGCTATAAATTAAATTAATATGAGGAGCACTGCTTCTCTTATAATAAATCATACTTTCTAGAGACCCAATAAAAACGGTCCACATGCATGTGCTTGTTCCTCTTAACTATGAAAAGGCAAGTCTGTCCTATTTTTGAAATATTAGACACCAAGAATAAGTTAGATATGAACTCTGAAGTCTAAACACTCACATGACAGCCATATAATGAGTTGTTCTACTCACTTGTGCTTAACCTCAGCATTAATTTGCTCAAAGTTGACCAGAAAATGAGATTTGATGCAGTGTTTTCCTCCCAATCATTTTTGTCCTTCAAAAAGATTATCTTTTCCTAGTGATTAATCAATCTAGAAAACCTAAAAATCTCAAGAATTTACCTTTTAAAATCCAAGATTCTTTAGCCAATCACAAGACATTTTGCCTCACACAACAATCGTATATTGCATGTATTTTGTATACTTCACAAGGCAAAAGTTAGGCATAAAATAATGTGCTCGCACATGTTTGATCTAATAAAATGTTTGTTTAATTTGGTTTAAGTAGAGAAGGAAACAGAGAATTGCTGTTTCCTCGTAATGTATAACAACTTTCCCTAGCTATGTGCTACAGCTTTGTTAAAGGGTAGCTCGGTACACTAAGCTTTTGCTATGTGTGGGGTTCGAGGAAGGGCCGGACTACAAGAGTCTATTGTACGCAGTCTTAGACTGCATTTTTGCAAGAGATTGTTTCTACGGCTCGAACCCGTGACCTCCTGATCACATGGCAGCAACTTTACCAGTTATGCCAATACTCCCTTAGTGCTACAAATTTTGTTAGCGAAAAGGAAATCACAAACAGACAATTTTACGGCTACACAATTGTGCTACGGTTGCCGGCTTATAAAACAGGCATAAAAGGTGAACAACTTTCATTACCTACCTTCCTATAAAGTGATTAATATCCTCAATATATAATTAGGTATTAACCTTGTGGTTAGTGATATGATCATTTATGATATGTCCATCCTAAAAATCTGCAAGAATTTTCTCATTGCTTTTGAACTCAGCTCTTCATTTTTCTTTCGCAGTTTGTTGTCTTTGTATTTTTACAGGAGTTAGGCCTCTCAATAGCAGGCTGTAACCAAGATAGGCTGGCAACCTTTCAATTTTGGGTTAAATTCAAAAAAAGCCAGATTTACAAGTGGTAATTGAAAATAGCTACAGTTTCAAAAATAATCGAAATTTAGCCATTTTTCATATAAAGATAACGAAAACACTGTTCAAAATCCGAAAAATATTCCAGCATAATATACTGGAGTTCGAATTTTTTATATGTGAACTTCCAGCATAATATACTGGAGTTCCAGTATATTATTCTGGAACTCCAGCATATTATGATGGAGTTCCAATATAAATATATTGGAATTCCATCACAATGTACCGGAGTTCCAGCATAATATGCTGGAAGTTCATACACAGGTGCTCCAATCTTCAGTATATTATGCTGGAACTTTCCGTGTTGCAGCAAAATAGTGGCTATGTTTCAATGACTTAGCAAACGTTGGCTATTTTTCAATTACCGGTTTGAAAACTGGCTAGCTCGTGCTATTTTCACTTCAGTTTTACACTATCAACGCAAACAATACAGTAGACTATCACTCTATTTTTCAAGCTACCTTATAAGGGTCGCTAAAAAATTACATGTTATAGTAAGTCAACTTAACCTAATAAAAAATGGTGAGTAATCTATCTATATAGAATAGGAGAAGCAAATACACTACATTAAGACAAGTGTCTTAATCACAAAAAACCAAGTGGCATTGTTAAGAAAAAATAAACTACTTTTCTAACTAACTTGTTTTTGAATTTTAAATTTTGAATTAATTGGTTACACTACTTGAATTAATAAATATAGATATCTTATAATTATCAATAAAAAACGAAAATACAAAAAAAATACCTACTCGTTCTAATTGGAGTTTTAAAATTATTTTACAATAAAAAAACAAAAATAACAAAAAATAAAAAAACTACCAATTCAAATTGGAGAGTAATTTCTTCCTAATATAGTTGTATTAGTGTTTGTGTGTTTATATATATGGGAGTAGTTATTATACTAAATTGGTTATTTATTAATAATTCATATGTCAATTTAACAATATTAAGTAATGGATAATACAATTAGATAACCAAGGAACAAATATATATATATATATATATATATATATAAGACGTATAACAATAATTAAAATTATTATGAGAAAAGTCGTACATATATACACATAACTAAAATCATAATAAATAATTAGTCATAAATGAAGAATACTAAAAAAAAATCAAAGGATATCGTAAAAATATATATACTAATTAAATTTCTCATATAGGAAAATTTAGTTAATAAATAGAACTCATAATTTCATAATGAAAAATACAAAAATATAAAGAAACTATTAAGATATAATACATAAGATAATATATTATATGTAAATCACATTTTATTAAGTTTTAAAAATATTAGTACGTTTTTTATAAAAAATAATAAAAGGCTTATCTCTTTATACTTTTGATGAATTCAAAATTATAATTTAGTAAAAAAATGATATTATTTAAATTTTCAGTAAATATAAATGAGAAAACCAATCAAATATTATAGTAGAAATGAATGTAAGAAAAGGGTGCATAAACATAATTTTATAATATTATATTTTGAATTAATTAATAAATAAAATATAAATATATAACACTCAATAAAATTATTGATAAATTTAGACAATTGAAGAATTTTAAACGGTATAACATAAGTATGAAAATATATATTTCCAGAATAAGAAAATATATACGTATGTTCTACTAGAAGAGAAGTAGTATCAAAATATTAAGCCAATTGATAAATTAGTAAAAAAATTACATTAGTAAATGTATAGTACTAAGTACTTGCTAATTTAATAAAGAATAAACAAGGAATAAACAATTTATTTGTTTACTATAATGCTTTGTATCCTTTGATTTTTTATAAATTTTATTATTTTTATGTACACTAAATAATAAAATATAAATAATATTTATTAAAATAATATGATATATTAGATCATAATTTTATAAAATTAATATTGCGTCAAATTATCCGCGCATCACGCGAGTTCTGACACTAGTATAGAAAGAATTACAAGAAAATACACATGATAACAAAAAATGACCCATGTTTTTAAGCTTTACCCGACCTAGCACATATTCTACATATTTTGAAAACATCAGCTTTTGCAAATTCAAAATATGTGTTCTTACAACCATTGCTTCTAAAAGTTATGGAGTTAAATTTGTGTTCTCACAACTATTGCTTTCACTCTCTCTTCTTCTCACATCTTTTACATATGCTAGGGCCCGTTCGCCANTATAAATTTTATTATTTTTATGTACACTAAATAATAAAATATAAATAATATTTATTAAAATAATATGATATATTATATCATAATTTTATAAGATTAATATTCATCCGCGCATCGCGCGGGTTCTAACACTAATTTATTATAACAATACAATGTAAATCTTTTGTCATTATGTAAAATAAAATAGAATAAGATTCTTTTTTTTTTTTTTTTGCTAATAAAAGTAAGAGCTTGATTTATACTATATATACCGAATGACTTAGCAAGTGAAGCAACAGCAAAGGAAAGGAGCTGGCAGGACCTACAAGTCTTTGGAAAAATAGAATAATTAGGAAAATAAACGAGATGACCATATAGTGGAATTTTTGTTTATTTCTTCTATAACTTACAAGGAAAGCTTTGGAGCAATGTTAGTTGTCTCCGTGTGACCTATAGGTTATGGGCTCGAGTCATGGAAGCAGCCATTAATACTTACGTTAGAGTAATGTTATACCGACGGGTTCAATTGAACCCATAACTTTCGACGCGAAATAAAAATTTATATGTAAAAATCATTAAAATCACAAAAATATTGAATATGAATCCATAACTTTAAAAATATAATTAATGAGTTCAATGTTAAAAACATTAAAAGTTGAACTCAAACAGTTTAAATTCTGGATCCGCCTCGATATTACACCTTTTAAAATGCGACCCTTCCCCAAACCCTGCAAGAACACAAAATATCGTATGCATCGAGCTGCCTTTTTTAAATCACTTGAAGTTGTGGGCTTCCTTATCCTTAATAGCTAGCTAAGGTCAGCTCAGCCATAGAGATGCTCAAATTAATGTCAGCCGTCGGATTTGGGTTAGCGTAGTATTCTCAGTTAAGTACACGTGTTACTACCATTTTCCCCTTCACCTCTTCTTTTTATCTTTTGCTTCCATGCATGGTTTTCTCCTTCTAATTCCAAATTTAGCATTGTAATTTGTAAGAGAGAGAAAAACTGGAGAGAGACAGTAAACTACTGTTGAAGAACAGAACCCCCATGATAATTCAATGGATGAAGAAGCGAAGAAGAAGAAAGAAACAGATGCTACAATGAAGAAGAAGGTGTAAAGCTTCGGAGTTTACTAAGCAAATTTTGGACTTATGTCTGAAGTCTTTAGTAGTACATGACGTGGCAAAATTGTAGCCCTTGATATTCAAATCCTAAGTTCTAATCTTGACCACTGGATTAGAAGACAAAGACAGATCTGGACCATTCATTTTAATTATGCTGATACACGTGAGTGAGCACATGCTCACATTGTAAAGAATAATTTTGTTAAGTTAGTTATACCACTAGCCAATAGAAAACAGGACAAGTGTATAGGAATATTTTATTTACAATTTTTGTATCTATAGATAGGGCTGTATATAAGCAACAGTACTTCAGTGAATAAATATACAGAGAAAATTCTCACAAGTTCAAGCTTTTCTTTCATGGTATCAGAGCAGTTTTAGCTCGATCCATTCACAAATTTTCTCTAATCTCTAAATATTTATCTAATCAGCATCATCTCCTTCTCTGAATCATGCTTGGAACAGAAGCTGCAACTGATCTCACAGTTTTTGCATCAACCAGCACTGGAGCAACAAATGACTCCAATCACCCTCTTCATTTGCATTCCTCCGACACTCCAGGAATGCCATTGGTTAGCTCACCATTTGATGGTAGAGGATTTCCTGGATGGAAAAGGTCTGTACTCATTGCAATCTCTGCAAAAAATAAGCTTGAATTTATCAATGGATCTTGTGTTGAACCAAAATTGGATGACAAGGATTACCCGCTATGGAGTAGATGTAATGACATGGTTACCTCTTGGTTGCTTAACTCCTTGACAAAAGAGATAGGTGACAGTGTCATTTACTCAAGAACAGCTAAGGACCTCTGGAGCAGTCTGGAGCACAGATTTGGTCAGTCTAGTGGAGCCAAGTTGTACCATCTGCAAAAGGAAATTTCAAAGATAATCCAAGGAAACAGCAGTATATCAGCTTATTTCACCACACTTAAGAGACTTTGGGATGATTTGGACTCTCTTAACTCATATTTAGGATGTACTTGTGCATGTATTGTGAGGGCAAAAGGAAAATGGCTAAATTCATGGAAGATCAGAGGGTGATACAGTTTCTAATGGGTTTGAATGATGCTTATGCACAAGCAAGGGGAAATGTTCTCATGCTTACTCCTACCCCTAGCATGGATCAAACCTACTCACTGTTACTACAAGATGAAAGTCAAAGGGAGATTTACATGAGCCCACAGTATCCTACTGATGGGGCTTCTTTCATGGTAGGAACACAGAATAAGTTTCCACAGAAAAGCAGTCAATCATAGAAAGGATGGAATCCTCAACAGAAATCAATCAACACACAGTATAAATCCAAGCCAAGGAAGTCCAAATTCAATCCTAATGTTAGTTGTAGCTATTGCTCAAAAATAGGACATGTGAGGGCTGATTGTTACAGGCTTATTGGATTCCCTGAGGAGTTTCAATTCACTAAGGGTGCAAATCTTCAAGGAACAATCAAAGCAAATGCTACAGTAGCAGACCAGCAGGGACATGTACATGCAGATGAGCACAATGGAGGAACTACAAACAATCAGACTCAGTTTTTCAGTAAAGAACAGGTTACTGAACTGGTGAATTTAATTAAACAGGTGCAAACTGGAAATTCAGGAAGTGGAAACTCAGAAATTAGTGCCAATGCTGTTGCTGGTACCATTCTTAAATACTCAGGCACTTGTCTTGCTGTTTTTAACACTAAAACCTGGATTATTGACTCAGGTGCCTCAGAACATATGTGTTTTGACTCCAAATCCTTCCTCACTTTATCACCTTTGCCTGTCCCTTTACATATAAGTTTGCCTAATTCTTTTCAACTCTTTGTCACACACATAGGACAAATTTGCATTCAACCTGATATGATTCTAGAAAGAGTACTATATGTTCCATCTTTTAAGTATAACTTACTCTCTGTTCATAGGTTATGTACTCAATTTCAATGCATGATCAACCTCACTTCTAGCAAATGTCTTTTGCAGGTCCCTTTAATGAGGAGGGGACACGTTTTTGGTGAAGTAAAAGATGGTTTGTATCTACTCCAGCCTAGAGGTTTACAATCTAGAATTCAATTCAGTCCAAGTGTAATTTCTGTTCCAAAAGGAAGCAATTCCAATTTAGTATCTAGTAAAGCTCCCCTTTCCATTCCAGTATTTGCTAGTACTGTTTCAGGTGTAATTCAATGGCATGTCAGGTTGGGGCATTTGCCCTTTTCAGTAATGAGAAAACTCAGTTTCATTCATTTTCCTTCAAATTTTAATAATGTGTGTGAAATTTGTGCTAAGGCAAGGCAAACTAGGCTTCCTTTTCCCACTAGCCAAATCAGGACTAAATCTCCTTTTGATCTCATTCACATAGATACTTGGGGACCCTTTAAGACCACTACATACAATGGTTACAATTATTTCTTGACCATAGTTGATGATTTTAGTAGGGCTACTTGGACCTTTTTATTGAGTACCAAGTGCAATGCCTTTACAGTTCTGAAGTCTTTTCTATCTATGGTAGAAAGGCAATTTAACAAGCAAGTAAGAAGGGTAAGATCAGACAATGCATGGGAATTGGGAAAGGGAACACAGGAGACTAAATACCTTCAGGAACAGGGGATCATTCATGAGACATCTTGTGTGTCCACACCTCAACAGAATGGGATAGTGGAGAGGAAACATAGGCATCTTCTGGAAATTGCAAGGGGTTTACTGTTTCAGTCCAAGGTTCCTCTCCAATATTGGGGAGAATGTGTATTGACTGCCACATTTTTGATCAACAGATTCCCTTCCAAAGTGTTAGACGGAAAGACACCTTATGCAGTTTTGTATGGGAAAGAACCTACCTATGAAGTCCTGAGAAGTTTTGGGTGTCTATGCTATGTTTCAACCTTACCTAAACACAGAGATAAGTTTGCACCCAGAGCTAAGGCTTGTGTATTTTTAGGGTATGCACAAGGTCAAAAAGGTTATAAGGTTCTGGACAAAGAGACAAAAAGAGTGTTTGTTTCCAGGGACATCAAATTTCATGAACATCTCTTTCCTTTTCATTCCCCATATTCTACTACCTACTTCCCTCTTAACCACACTCCTACATCAGATATGACTCCACCTTCTATTTCATCTTCAGATCCTAACCCTGCTTGTCCCTCACCTGATCTTCTCCCAGTACCTTCACCCGATTCTCCTACTCTTGACAAAGTTTCTACACCCATTTCCAGTCCTAATTCACTCCCTATGCCTCATCATTCACCTATGCTAGGAGATTCCTATACTCCTTCATATTCACCTATTAAGCCTATATCCAGGAATGTGATTCCTACACCTCCACCACCCATTAGGAAATCTGAAAGAATATCCTAAAGACCTACCTACCTACAGGACTATGTCTGCAATGCCATTATCCTATCTGACCTCACTAGTTCCTATTTCACACAACCTCCCCCACCTACTGTTTTTTCCTTTACTGCCCTTACTGCCACCAATCAACACCTTGTTCACTCACTCTCAACCATATCTGAACCTAACAGCTATGCACAGGCTTCTATTCACCCAGGCTGGAAAGCAGCTATGGATGCAGAAATTGCAGCATTACAATTAAATCACACTTGGGATGTGGTGGATTTACCTACAGGGAAGAAAGCCTTACCTTGTAAATGGGTGTACAAGGTCAAACATCACTCAGATGGGACTGTGGAAAGATTGAAAGCTAGGTTAGTAGTCAGGAGAGACATTCAAAGGGAGGGAATTGATTATTTTGAGACCTTTTCACCTGTGGTAAAGATGACAACCATCAGGTGTCTTTTAACTGTTGCTGTGAAGAAAGGTTGGGCAGTTTCACAACTTGATGTGAATAATGCCTTTCTACATGGAGAGTTGCAGGAAGAGGTTTACATGAAATTTCCTGCAGGTGTATCTCCTCCTAAACCAAATCAGGTCTGTTTGCTGAAGAAATCTCTCTATGGGCTCAAACAAGCCTCCAGGCAATGGTATGCTAGGCTTGCTGGTGCCCTGAGTTTTAAGGGATATTCTAGCTCACTAAATGACTATTCTCTATTCTACAAGGTAAATGGTGAGCTAGTTTCTATCTTAGCAGTGCATGTGGATGACATCCTCCTCACAGGGGATGATGGTGCAGAAATAGAACATATAATTGCTTTTCTTCATTCAGAATTCAAGGTGAAACACTTAGGCAACATTCACTATTTTCTAGGCATGGAAATACTCAGAGAAAAACAGGGGTTCATCATCAGTCAAAGGAAATTTACCTTGGAATTACTGCAGGAGTTCCACTGCACAGGGTCTCGAATTTCTTCTCCACTGGATCCTTCCACTAAGCTTCAGGCAGATTTGGGCCCTCCTTTGGATGATCCAACCATTTATCACCATTTAGTTGGTAAACTAAATTATCTGACAAATACTAGACCTGATCTCTCTTTTGTTGTTCTTTCTCTGAGCCAATACATGCAAAAACCTTGTGTTTCTCATCTTTCTGCTGCTCAACGTGTCCTAAGGTATCTTCGCACAGATCCCTCACAAGGGATCCTTTTATCTTCCCATCCTTCTTTTGATTTGATGGCTTTTTGCGACGCTGATTGGGCCGCCTGTCGTGATTCACGTCGTTCAGTGAGTGGATTTTTTATTACCCTTGGAGGAGCCCCCATTTCCTGGAAATCTAAGAAACAAGCATCCATCTCTTTATCATCCGCCAAAGCTGAATATCGTTCAATGCGTCGAGTCACGGCTGAGATTACATGGCTTGTTCGTCTTTTGGCCGATTTCACAGTCCATCCCACTTTGCCTGTCCCTCTTCACTCTAACAGTCAAGCTGCCATTCACATAGCTCGTAACCCCGTCTTTCATGAACGCACCAAACATGTGGAGTTGGATTGTCACTTTGTTCGTCAACAATTTTTGTCTGGTTTAATCTCTCTCCATTTTGTTCCGTCGGACTCTCAGCTCGCAGATCTATTTACCAAACCCTTATCTGGGGGTTCTCATCGGGGTATTTTGTGCAAGCTGGGAGTCCATTCTCTCCCCTCCACCTTGAGGGGGGATGTTGAAGAACAGAACCCCCATGATAATTCAATGGATGAAGAAGCGAAGAAGAAGAAAGAAACAGATGCTACAATGAAGAAGAAGGTGTAAAGCTTCAGAGTTTACTAAGCAAATTTTGGACTTATGTCTGAAGTCTTTAGTAGTACATGACGTGGCAAAATAGTAGCCCTTGATATTCAAATCCTAAGTTCTAATCTTGACCACTGGATTAGAAGACAAAGACAGATTTGGACCATTCATTTTAATTATGCTGATACACGTGAGTGAGCACATGCTCACATTGTAAAGAATAATTTTGTTAAGTTAGTTATACCACTAGCCAATAGAAAATAGGACAAGTGTATAGGAATATTTTATTTACAATTTCTGTATCTATAGATAAGGCTGTATATAAGCAACAGTACTTCAGTGAATAAATATACAGAGAAAATTCTCACAAGTTCAAGCTTTTCTTTCAACTACTAGTAATACTTCAAATTTTCTTCTCTCCTTTTAGTAGCTTGTTTATCCACCAGCTTCTTCAGCTCTCTTTTCTTGCCTAGTAAATCTTGTTATTGATCAAAAGTTCATTTTTTTGAGCTAAAAATTCAGAATTCTGAAACCCCATTTCATATTTCAGCTTCTTATCTGGTTTATAATTTGTTCTGTTTTTTCTTGGTTGACTCTGTATCATTAGCTTGTTGGTTTAGTAGAATGGTATGTAGAGTTCAAACATATTTTTGAGCTTGTGTGGAATACTAATAGCCGAGGGTCTCTCTGCCTTTCCAGGATAGGGATAAGGTTGAGTTCATCTTGTCCTCCCTAGACTCCACGAGAATTCACTGGATTTTTTTTATTGTTGTTTTTGCTGTTGTGAGGAATACTAGTAAAAGTTCGATTCTTTTCTTGATCATCTGATTGGATTGTTGTTTCTTGAATTTTTACTAAATTCAATGAAAGAAGATCAAGAACTGAAGTATATATGCAAGTTTTGCAACAAAAGTTTCCCTTGTGGTAGATCCTTAGGGGGTCATA